CCCCCCCCCCCCCCCCCCCCAAGCACCTGCTTGCAGAGTTCCTCCTCAACCTCCATCTCTTCCTCATTCTCCTCCTCCTCCTCGTCTTCATCGTCCTCAAAGCAGCCCACGGCGTCCACCGTGATGAAGTGGTCCTCATCTTGGCCAGCTATCTCCTTCTCGAACATCTTCATCTGCCCAGGAAGTGGGTCAGGGCTCAGGCCAGCTCTGGGTGGCCAAGGTGCCACCCCCCATCCTCCCCCCACACGCACACCCGGTCTCCCAATCGCCCTGGACCTGCTATGAGTTCGGGCTGGGATAAATCCCAACTTGCTGTGCGGCCTTGGCCAAGACTCTGCACCTCCCCGAGCCTGTCCCCGAGGGAGCGGGGCTACCTCCTTGGCTTTGTCCTTGTGCCCCTGGGACTTCACGTGCTCCACAAACTTGCGGGGGGTCCTGAAGTAGCGGTTGCAAACGGTGCAGAAAGGTCGCAGGGACTGTTTGGCCATCTGGGGGGAAGGAGGGCAGACCAAGGGGGTGGCGGGCAGTGTCGGCGTGCCCTCGCCTCCCTCCTGCCGGCCACCACATCTGCGATCTCGGGCCCTGTGCCAGCGCACGGGCAAGCACGTCCCTTCCCTGTGCCATTGGCTCCGAGATGGGATGGCCGATGGCCACAGAGAGGAGACAGGAGAGAGCACACGCGCTGGGAGGAGCCCCCCGAGCCCCACGGCTCAACGGCAGGGCGAGATGCTGCCTGGCCCACGCCGGACAAATGGGGAAACTGAAGCCCAAAGAAGAAACGCGCTGGTGTGTTGAGAAGCCGCACTTCCGTGTGACGGCCACACAGAGACAGACTGACACGGACTTCCGTTCCAGCCTGGACTCCTTCCCTCCCGGCCCTCGGCCTGGAGACAGCACATCCAGGGCCGTGGCAGCGTGTGGCCTCGCACCTTGTGGTCCTGCGTCCTGCGGTGCTGGATCAGGTCCCCCGTGTAGTAGGCCCGGCAGGTGTGGCACCAGCGCCTCAGAGGCGGCTCTCTGAATGGTGACAAGCAAAACAAGGGCAGTGTGACTCCGCGTTCCCGGAAAGACGTTGCTCTCCCACATGCTCTGTAAACGCAGGGCCATTCCAACAGGAGCTCTTTGGGAAACTTAACAAAAGGGTTTGGAACTTCACCTGGAAGAATACTCAAGTAAGAATATGAACAAGGAGAGTTGGGGGAGAAATGAGATTTAGAAGCATCCGGGATGCCAGAGGGTCGCCAGGACAGTGACAGCACCAAGGATAACTGGCCTTGGAAACCTTTCTTTATCCTTCAGTTTAATGCCCCGTGGTTCCCAGAGCTGCCCTTGCCCCTCACCACCATGCCCCTGTGGCAGGCAGGGTCGGCACATGCGCCAGGGAGCAGCCCCACAGCCCACGTCCTTCCCAGGTGGACGGTCACGTGTTCCTGCCCGGATGGAGCCCTGAGAAAGGGTTTAGTTCATGAGTTCCTGCCTTACACCCCTTACGAGGACATTTTACAGACAAGGAAAACTGAGGTCCAAGGTCAGACAGTGAATGGTGTGAAGAGGCCTCTGGGGGAGGGCAATGCCTAACACAAAGGCAGACCTTGCAGATGGTAGAATCAGGGCCCGTCTCAGCCTGGCCTGGCCTGGGAGACTGCCCAGCCCCCACACAGGGCCTCCGAGATCCCGCACTCACTCGTCCTGTCTCTCCAGGACATCCCGGGGCACGGGCAGCAGGGACAGGAGGCAGGCTTGGCTCATGTGCTCGATCTCCCCGAGCCGCTGCTGGTGCTGGGCCCCCAACATGTGGTCCTGGAATTCCTACGACAGGAGGGAGGGAGGGAGGGGCATGAGGACTGAGCCCCGGAAGGCGGTCAGGGCTGGGCCGAGGGAGGAGGCCTCCAACCTTGGCTTTCATGGCCGCCCCAACACCACTGAGAGGCCATTTCTCTTACAGCAGCCCTGTGTGGGCCACAGAAGGATGGTAAACTGAGGCACAGAGCGAGCACACCGCAGCCAGAGCCTCCGCTCCTCCTGGAGCCTGTGTGAGCCTCAAAGACTAGGAGCAGTCTGAGGAGCTCTCAGGTCCCCCGGCTCCGCTCCGCCAGGCACAGAGTGGCGGGGTGACTACAGCCGGCGGGGTGACTACAGCCCCCGGGGTGGCAATGCGAGTCTAATGCTGTTATGAATGCTATGCTCGCTCCGGGCCGGGTCTGGGGCTCATGACTTCAATGTCGAGTCACTGAATCCTCAGAACTACCTGATGTGGTGGGTTCTACATGATTCTTCATCTGACGCATGGGGAAACTGAGGCACAAAGGTGAATTCCCTCCCGAGGTCCGCAGGGCTGGGCAGGGCCGGTTCAAACCAGCTCTGCCTGACTGTAAAAGCCTGTCTCCGTGGCTGCTCAGAACATGTGCTCTGAGCGATGCTCAGCTGCCAGGAACCGGGGCTCAGGGGGCCCCATGTGGCCACGCAGGCAGCCGTGGACCGGGCGGGCCGGACACCCCACACAGGCCCTCCCCTGACCGACCCACTGCCCAGGGCAGGGTGGCAGTACCTGCTGGCTGCAGCAGCCGGCCCTGCAGATGTAGCAGAAGAACTGCAGCGCCTGCTTGGAGGGCACGCTGGCGGTGGCAGGGGTGGCGGAGGCGGAGTCACTGGAAGGTGGCCCGGGTGCGAGGGAATCAGTGCTAAAGGCCCGGCTGTCACTGCTCTGCAGGATGGTGACCTTCAGGGAGCCCCCGGCACCCCACACCTGCGCCAGGAGCAGGAGCAGAGCTACTGCCAGCTGGACACGCATGGCGGACCAGCCCTAGTGCTAAAGACCTCTGAGCGTGGTCTCATCGGGCCTCCGACGGCCCCCTTTACAGATGGGGGAACTGAGGCTCTAAGCTGTTCGAGGATTGTCCAAGCTCACCCAGCTGGGAAGCACTGCAGGCAGGATTCAAAGCCAGGCCCCCCTAAATCTAAAGCCAGGTCCACCCCCTCCTCATACACATGACAGGGAGAAAGTGAGACACAAAGGAGGGAATGGGCTTGGCCACAATCCACTGGGCAGCAGAGCTGGGCCCCGAACCCCTGGCATGGGCTGACACTCCACTCTCTCTCAAGAGCAGCGTTACTCATGGGAGGGGACTAGACGCTCCAGTTTGGGGATGAGCCGGCTGGAAGGGACTCCTGTCCCCAAAGTAGCATCAGATCTTCAGAGCCAGGGCGCGTGTGAAGGCAGCTCGAAAGCAAGAAGAGTTTGACGAACCAGTCAAACCCACTCGCTCCGCCCACAAGCCCAGGCTGCAGGCACATGTCCCAGGCGGGGAAACATGAGGGGGCCCCGAGGGGGCCTGGGATAGAGAGAGGCCCTCCCACCGCTGGGCACTGAGGTCCTCACGCTGCCACATCAGCAGCTCTACCCACCCTGAGCATCTCTCTTGCTCTTTTCTCACATTCTCCCACATCTAGGCCACCGGTCAGCTCCTCCTGGCTCTCCTCCATGCTGACCTGGGCCGCCGCCGGCTCCGGGGAGGCCTCCTCCAGGCCTGGAACGACACATGGGCTCCGTTTCCCAGGGCCCACCTCCCACCGGACCCAGAGGGACCTGGGCCCAAGGGCCACCTTCTGTGCTCACAGCCAAGGCCTTTAAGACTCTGGTGTGAATGGCCCCAAACCCTGGTTCTGGGTCCAACCCTTGGTCCCAGGCAGCGCCCGGTCAGAGCTGGGCAGTGTCAGGGGAGGACAGAGCGGTCTGGACAGAGCTGTCCCAGCACCGGGCCGGCTGGGAGCCAGCGCTCACCTACCTGCTTCAGCTTCTACTGCACTGGGCGGTGCCTCCTGCAGAGGGGAATCAGCCGGAACTGGTGCTTGCTCTGATGCCGGCACTTGTGGCTGCATCGCAGGCTGCCCCTGGGTCGGGTCCGGTGGCTGCACTGGCAACTGCACCGGAGGTTGCTCTGGTGGCCACTCCCCTGGCTGGGCCCTCGGCTGTGTTCCTGCTTGGACCTGTGGACATGTCTGGGTCTGTGCCTGCTCCTGCAGCGTCGGCTGCACCTGCCTTGGGGGCTGCACATGTGCCTGTAGCTGCGCCTGCGTCGGCGGCTGTGCCTCCGGCTGTGCCCGCTGCGGCAGTAAGTGCTCTGGGGAGGTCTGTGTCTGTGCCTGCTTCTGCCGCGGCGGCTGCACCTGGGCCTGGATCTGCAGGACCCGTGGCTGGGATCGTGGCCGCACTCGGGCTTCCAGTGGCTCAGGCAGCAGCTCGGGTGTCTGCGTCTCGGCGCTGT